GATAGATAGATAGATAGATAGATAGATAGATAGATAGATAGATAGATGATAGACAGACAGATCTACATCTTCAGCTCTCAAATTCTATTACCAAAGACATGCTTTCTAAATTTATCCTGTTTTCTATCACTACTCTTCTGCCAAGCAATAGTTCTGTTTTATAGATAAGTATACAGAATTATTGACTGCAGCTATATATAACCCTAACCCTCTTAAGACTGTGCAATCTTTTGAACATGACTCTTCTCAAAATTTGATTCAATTAACAGCATGGTTAGAACCACCTACTACAGAAATCTAACAGCAAGATACGATCTTCCTTGATGCAGTACTCACTCAATGAAAAAATAATGTGACAACCAAATTCCTGAAAATGTTATTTCTGCATTTTCCTTATGAAATTCTAAAACTGTTATTAAATAATTAATCTCAGATTATTTTACAGTAAAATGCAAATTAAATTATGAATAGCATCAAAATGCATTTGTTTCATAAGAATGATACAAGGAAATAATTGATAATTCACTTTTGTCTTAATACCTGTAAATGAAGCTTGATATCAGCCACTGGTAGTCTTTCTTGAAGGCCAAGTATAACAGCTTGCATGGTACTTTCAGCGAGAGTCTCAACATCATTGAATGCTTCAGCTTCCATTTGTAATTCATTAATCAGACTAGAACACTCTGTTAATTCATTTTCTTGAAGAAAAGTAAAATAATACCATCAAGAATAATTATGGTACAAAGTATTATCTTATAATACTTTATTATTGTAATTGATATAAATTATTTGAGCATATAAGTTATTTGAGCACATTTAACATAGTTCTTAATATTATTTTATGAGAAACGTTAACAAAAATATATTGCTTTTATTATCTCAGTACAGCACATATAGACCCTCCTTAACTATGGTAATTGGGATCAGAATGTCCATTGCTAAGTGATGCGGTAACTTTAAGTGAATTACCATGGGACATTAAATGAAAACTCCACATAATTGCAACTTCTGACTTCTTGGAGATTTCCCACTCATTTTGCTCGTGGGAAGCCTGTACAGAAGAAGATAACAAATCACAGAACACTGCAAAGATCAGAAACCTGGACTTGTTTCTGAACACCCAAATCCCAATCACATGACTGTAAAATCACTGTGATAGCTGTAACTTTGATGAAGCCATAAATACCATTTATTTAAGTGCTGCTGTAAGCATGAATGATTGCTGAACAAGTAGTTGTTAACCAAGGAACCACCTATAGAGATTTACAATGTTACTTGAATACTCAAGAGGACTCAATGTCTAATTATGATCATTCACAGGGGTTTATAGTGCTAGCAAGATGCAATGAAAATCAGCTTCTGCAAAAAAAGTATTTCTAGACAAGGAAGCAATCATGGGAAAATATGCATAAATATACAAATATTTCTGAAGAGGTAACACAGGTAGCTTTGAGAATTAAATTTTGTGTATGCATTTATCTGACTACCACTGACTACTGATTACCTTTCATTATTTCAATGCCTCTTGCCTGTGCTGTAATTGCAATCACTAATGCCAAACGACATTTTAGCCATATGTGTATATTCAAATGTTCTCGTGCAGTTATATTGTGAATTAGATTGGAATCCTCAGTAGAAATCCTTCCATCATATCCCTGATCAAAAGAGGAAAATGAACTGGATTACTAAGTTTAATGTTCAATTGTTCTATAACTGACTAATGCATTTTAACATATAGAATGTCTCTTATACGTCATGCTTACTAAAATGTTTTATTAAGTGTAAAATATTGTATATAGCTTTCATTATGCCACATGGAATACTTCTGTATTAAACTAAAAATCCATAAAATAACAATAGAATAATTTAAAAATTATTTTAATATTTATTATAAAGTTGCGACCCATCATGCTTTCAACATTATCCTCTCTCATCAACTTAATAAAATGTGAAAACTGAAATATACCTTATCTGTTCTCTCTGCATCTTTTTGAGAATTAGATGTATCTGTGAAAACCTCTGCATCTTGAAGAAGTTTTATTGCAGAAAAAAACAGTGCAGCACTATAACCAAAAAACACAATTTTATATACATATACATGTTCTGTCTTGCCTTTCCTCTTTCCCAAAATATGAAAGAGTACAAACTCACACCAACACAGGCAGGCAAGCTGGCTCAGACTTCACAGAGTTAATTCTTTGGAACTGATAATATTCTTGGCATTCCCACATGTCCTGCCTGCCAAGTCTGAACTGATAAAGTTTTACTCACAGAAAAATCACAAGGCAGTCCACAAAAATAGTCATTCACAAAGAAAATCTGAAGTAAGGTTAAATTTTGTCCCGTACAAAGTTTCAGGAGAAAACACATCCACTTTTATCCCCTGTGGGGTGTGGGTCAATGACTCAGCTCACTCTCTGACCCTCCCACACTTCCTACATTGCTGCTCACGTTTCTGCCTACGACGCTGCTTAGGATCGAGCCAACACTCTTCCTCTTTACTCCCTGTCAGGGGCATTCCCAGTTCCTCCTCCTCATCTTCCAGGTCCTCTTCTTCTGACAGCATAGGCTCGGGAATCGGGGCCACAACATATACATATTCTATAGATTATGGAATAATTTACCAATTTCCATTCATTTACTTGTTAATTTTGATTCATTTATGAAAAAAGATAATGGGAGCATCTTCCAAAGGAGCTCTGTCACATGTTAATAGTCATACAGGATTTTAATAGAATCACAGAGGGGAAGGGACCTTGGAGGTCGAGGTCTTCAAATCCAATCCTCTGCCCAAGGCAAGAGACCTTATTGCATAGAAAAGCCAATTGTTTAGATCAGAGTTTGTCAACCTCAGCAATGTTAAAATATATGGATTTACTTAAATCCCATACACCTTAAATTTGCTGAGTTTGAGAAACACACTAGAGATTCAGATTGAAGCTGTTAAGAATTTAAAATTTAATACAGCCCTACATACTGCTTATTACAACAATCAAGGTTTGAATAGCTGTTGTCATTTCGAATGGCTCAGGAAAATGTGTTTCCTGCCACAGTCACCAAATGTAATTCAATTATCAATGAATAACTGCTTTTCTAATTTTCTAATGTTTTAAATGATTTAAGTATCAGTTAAGACAATCATCTATGAAGCACTGTTTTCAGCAAATGTTAGTTTTATTCCAGTAGAAAAATGGATTTATCAAGATAGTTTTTTTTTTAAATTCACCTGAAAGCTGTTTGGAGTCTCTGTTGAGCAATAGCTGCAAGCTGAAGTTTAGCTTCAATGACAATTTCCAGTTCTATGGCTGAACATTTATATATCAGTGCACCATACTTATTCTGTATGGTTTCAAGAATTAAATTAATTCTTTCTTCAGCTTCTGCCAATAAAATTCCCTAAAATAATTAAAACTATATCACTGATCAATTAATAAAAATTAAAATAAAAAATAAAAACTATTTAAATATGAGCAAACATCATTAAGAAACAAGATATTTAGATCAATTAAGCAGATTTAAATATTATAGATTCAAAATGTTTGCATTTAAATTCCTTATGTTAATGAATATTTGTTGACATTGTGTTTGTGAATATTGAGGCATTCAGTGTTATTAATATCCACAAATATTATTAGTTTCACAGCTAGTTCTTCAAATAATACACACCAATGATTCTATGCCATATTGAACATGCAACTATAGTGTTAACCGGTATATATATATAGTGTTAACCGGTATATATATATATATATATATTAACCGGGAGATAGATAGATAGATAGATAGATAGATAGATAGATAGATAGATAGA